AACGCTGGCGGGCTCGTTGGCTCGAAAAAATTCGACGGATGTTTTGCATAATTAGGGTCGGTTGAAAATTTGTAGTTCAAAATTCAAAAAATTGTTAGAATTTCAATTTCCCCTTATCTTCGACCTTATTCCCGCTCGCCCTCTTGATATCAGGTTGATATACTACAATCGAAAAGCATTCAGGCGGGATCATGTGTTCAGTGCCATTTTGGCAGTTGCTGCCGGTTTTTTAACTTCACTCGAGCTGTAGGTAAGCTAGAAAGCTGTTCGGCACACCAATCGACAGGTAATGATCAGAAGGCCAGAGGGCTGAGAAGGCCTGCTGCTGGGGGCTCAAGAGACCGGGGTCGATGCAAGCCAGAGCGCTAGATCTTGCAGGATCCTGCAGGGCTAAGGGTGCACTGACCCGGGCTTGGTTGCTTGATTTTGCAGGTTCCTTCAGGATGTTCCAAGGCCTGACTGACCTGGGTTCGCATTGACCTGGGTCAGTGCGTCCCCGAGCCCTTATCGCCCCTCCCTCGACCTGCCCTCGGCACCCTCCGCCTGGCCGACGCCGCGGCCGCTGCGGCGGCTTCTGCGGCCGCCGCGTCCGCTCGGCGGCTGCCGCGCGGAAGGTCTGGCGGAGGGCGATCCAGGTTGTTGGACGTCGTGGTCCTCCGGGAGCCCCTGGCGGCCTCCGAGCACCCCGTGGTGATCGGGAGGCCTCCGCGGGGGCCTCTCACTTGTCCTCTGGACTCGCCGCCGAATCAGACCAGGCTGTGGCTCCTTCGGCTCAGAAGTGTCACGATGCCCTGGGACCTCGCGTGGACCGCGCTCGCCCACCACGGCGGCGCCGTCGATGGGCTGCTGCGCCTGCTGCACGCGGGCACCGGCCACAGCGCGGCGTCGTTTCTGGTGCCTCAGGGGCGGGGGGGGGCGAGTGACGAAAAGGGGCCCGCAGCCGCGGACCTGGGGGCTCGAGGTCCACCCATCGGCTGTTGAGAGTCGTTGTTTTTGGATCCCCAGGTTTTCAGTCTGCTCTGGTCGCCTTCCTGCCTCGAGGCGGGCGCAGTTCCAATCCACTTTCAACGCCTGTTTGCTTCATGTGTCTACCCAGTTCTCCTCCTTCTCTTCCTCCCCTCCTCCTCCTCGTCCTCCTCCTCGTCCTCCTCCTTCTCCTCCTCCTCCTCCTCCTCCTCTAGCTCTTCCTCCTCCTCCTTCTCCTCCTCCTCCTCCTCCCCTTACTTCCGACCGACGGGTGTCGTGGTAGACATATCAACGTAAACGTCAGTTTCCGGAGGTCTGCGCGGATTTCCTGTATCGGCACTGGACTTCTGTGGCAGCGCCTCTGTCGCCGCCCTGGCGCGCCTCGCGCGCCTGGGAGTGGGGGTCCAGCGCCGATCCAAAAATACGTGCGGGCCTCCAAGTGTTTATGTTTGTGCAGATCTTGTTTCTGCTAGCGTAGGTGTTCTCACCCAGCGACGTGCTTGAATGAGGGATCGGTTCGGGCTTCGGAGGGTCGTGGCGATGACGAATCCGAGCAGGTCGAGGATGCCAGGAAGAGTAATTACCAGCCATGCTAGCATCACTTCTTCCTTTCATCCCTGACCACCATCCCTCTTCGTCCTTCTCCTCCTCCTCCCCTTTCCTCGTCGCTTTGCTCCTCCGCCTTTCCCTCCTTCTACTTTCCTCCTCCCTCTCCTCCGCCTCCTCCTTCTCCATCTCGTCCCCCTCTCCCTCGTCCTCCTCCTCCTGCTCCTCCTCCATTTCCTCCTCCTTCTCCTCCCCTTCCTCCTTCTCCGCCTCCTCCTCCTCCGTTCTCCTCCTCCTTCCTCCTCCTCCTCCTCCTCTTCCATTCCTTGCCTTGTAGATATCTGCTCCCTGTGGCACACCGAGGCCAGTCGAAAGGACGGACCGGGCGTTTCGCCTGAGACTTCATGACCCTGATTTCTAAATGTTGACAACAGTTTCACAGTTGGAGTTTTGACCACATGTGAGCAGCTTTACAAATCAAGGGCGAATCAAAATGTGGCTCTCGCCCCAGCGCCGTGCTCACAAACATGTGCAAGAATTCCACGGATTGGGCATGTGGGATTCAAAGTTTGGCTCTCGCCTTAGCGCCGCGTGCTTTCCTTTTGAACATTTAGCATTCGTTTTACGGATTGAGAGCGGGTTGTTTTCAAAATGTGGTTCTCGGCTTAGCGCCACGCACATTTGTTTTAATCATGTAGAAGGGTTTCACGGATTGAGTCCGGTTGGTTGTCAAAATGTGGCTGGCGCCTGAGTGCCACGCACATTCATTTTAAACATTTGCGATAGTTTCGCGGATTGAGGGCGATTGGTTTTCAGAATGTGACTGTCGCCTGAGCGCCACACACGTTCGTTTTACACATTTGAAGAGTTTCACGGATTGAGGGCGTTTCGTTTTAAACATATGGCCTTCGCATTAGCGGCGCGTTCATTACAATTCTGAAATAGTTTCGCAGGTTGAGGGCGGTTCGTTTTCAACTTTGACTCTCGCTTTCGCGCCGCGCATATTTAAGCGGGTGCAAGAGCTTCATTGGTTCTCATGGTTAACGCACCAGATTCGGTGCTCCAGAACGCTTTAGGATTGTCAGGGCGCAACATTTATGTTGAATCGCAGTGTTGAAGTCCCAGAAATGATGTTCTGTCACGGTTCAAGATGTTCGCGCGGTTGTCCCCCAACGGGGCACTTCCCTCAGTGGCAATGACCCCCTTGCAAGGGTGTATGAAGAGGGAACTTAGGAGCAGGGT